CTTTTAAAAAAGAAATTCGGGGCCGGAAGAGAACTTGGAAATTAATCTACCGTTATAAGGCCAAGTTTGACAAAGGTCCAGCATACGAGCTGTCACAGCATAGGTTCCTTTAGTGTACTAAGTTACTTCTGAGCCCAGGATGACAGTTAGCCAAACAGATATTTCCAAAGAATTGGAACATGCGCAGCAACTGAACTTGGAAGTCTCGTGCAACTGTTACCTACCTTGCAGTCCTGCCTAGACCTATAATCTTGAAGTCAGAAAAGAACCTTCTCAATCTAGTCCAGAGGGTATATCTGCAGTCACAGATATTTTATTTGGCACCTTTACTAGTTTATATGCTTTATATATTTTTGAATTATTTGCTACAACTTAAAAACCTGAAGATTGTGCATAGAAAGATATTTTGCTTGTCTGGAAAAACAAAGATCTGGCCAGATTATGTGCTGAGGACAATAATCAACTGAGGCTGAGCAGTAGCTATCCCCTTAAGAACCCAACCAAATAAATATACAAACCCAACCAATTCACATCCCAGATGAAGAAAATGAAGCGGTGAAAAACTGTTTGACCTATCCACATTTAATGGCACATTTAAAGTCAGAAGCCTGGTGCTCTGGATCCCAGTTCAAGGATCTTCAGTGAGTAGAGTACTGTTGATTGTTCTTTAGCAACTCTTGAGATTCAGGGACATTATCTACTTGTAGGCACTATGTCGATGGAAAACAACACCAAGAGCTGGGTCTTTTGTCTGCACCCCCTATGCTCCATTTCCTTGGCTGGGTCAGAAATTCTTTGGGCTGTAATAATCTACTATGTAGTTCTGGCCAGGAACTCAAAGCACCATCATTCCTCTGACTGCTGACTACACCCACAGTCTAAAGAATCTGTCCTGTTGGTACAAAGTACTGCACATTCCCAGCCTCCACATGTTTTCACACACAGCTGGGTTATGAACCAACATACTTCATTCTTTTGTTAATGGCAGTTAGGAACAATATCCTATATAGAACAGTGACATGGGAGGTTTTAAAGGACAATTACCAATGGCAAGAGGTCAATAGGAGCTCTGAACTCTCTTCCCAAAATGTCCATTGGCTATGGCCATAGTCTTCAATACACTGACTTTTTCTTTTGGCGGACTGAGGTTTGCAATCATGAGGCAGGTGCTGCCTTTCAACAAACCTAAAATTTTCACTGTCTCACTTATTTATTAGGCACATTCACTTTTACCTTGCTTTTGGGGCACCATCTGCTTTTTGAGAGGCAGATTTTCACAAAATTAAGGGCAGAGAAACATTCAGCAGATCACGCAAGGATTTAAACACAGCTGATGATGACATGGATCTAAATGAGAGCTTCTCTGCTTTAGCTAGGCTATGTAATACATGTGCAGGAATTTAAAATTTTTGTTTTTGAAATTTCTTGACTTTTTAAACTTATTATTTTTTTTTACACATTTGGTCAAAATCATGTGTAATAAATGCAGGAATAACGCGGGCTTACTCTACCTACCTAAAACTGCCCGAGGGGATGTTTGATTCCCTTTGTATCTTAGAGATTCCAACAACAAAACTATAGTCTATGTAAGTATGGTACAGCTGAGGAATGGAGTAGTACAAGGGAACCATTCACATGAAATCATTCTCTGTAAAGGTGGTAGGAATACAAAATCAAGGTAATCTTAAGGATAAAAAGAGAAGGCAGGTGGCAAGTGAACTGGACTGGAAGTGGCAAGGCTGATCAGTCCAGCAGCTACCCAAGACTTGGAGATTCTGATTTCTATAAAGAACAAAAAATGAATGCACAGTCAAAGGGTTTAAGGGCAAGTGCTCAATCATGCACATCAATGAGAGTGGAAACCAGAGAACTTCTAAGGTTTGCTTTCCTGCCAAGGGTTCCAGAACAACATCTCCATGTTTCCATGAGGAAAACTCCTGCCAGAAACCAGTAAGTATAGAGATAAATTCTTCTTTATGCTCCCCTTGGACCAGGGCACTTAAAAAATTCTTAAGCATCTGTATCTAGCATAAATTAGGGTGTTATAGCCAAGTTTCCAAATTCACCAATCCCCAAGTCACACATCTATTCTGTTAAGGTCTGTGGATCCTCCTGCTGAAATACCAGGCAGTTGGCTATGGCCAAATGGGGCTTATGTATTTCCCCTTGAGTAAGGGAGGTTTACTTACAATAAGGCAGAGAAGACTCATGATGCACCATTTAGGCCCCAATATCTTTCCTGTTCACAAAATAGATAGTGATTGTATGACTGTATTTTCTCAGAACTAAATGATGACTATCATGATCTAGAAGGAGGCTTTAAATGTGCTTTTTTTCCTCTTAACTTCAACTTTCTCAAAAGCTGGGGTGTTTCTTTACTTAGAGGAAATCTAGTAAATACGCTTGGCTCTGTATTCTGGGAAACACTAAAGCTCAGGGAGGGAAGCAATTTGCCTCCTATTCCTTTAGGAACACAACAAAACCATACATTAGGGCAAGGAGGCCTTTCATAACAGCCTTGAGTAGAAGTGTACAAGGAAAGCCTCGATAAGACCTTTTCTAACTGCTTCGTCATTCATTAATACATAAGATTCACTTACATTCAATGAGCCCAGGGTGATAATGTGGTTCCAGATAAGTCTTTTTCAGAAACGGGTCGTCTAACAAGGAAAAGATCCAAATCCTCCTACTCTAACCCAAGGCAGGGTTTGTAAATACCACGTCCTCGTGAAGAAAGTACAGTGGTGGTAAGGACATGTCAGCTACCCCAAAACAACAGAGGTTATGAAAGGAATCACTATCGCATATATGACATTTACAAAAAAGCAGCTTGGAAAAGTTTCTCAGAAAGACGCGGTCAACAGTATTCCTTAGGCCTCCACATGGCAGGTTTAACAAGTTTGTTAGTTTTTTCATCTTCCTATCTGCTTGAGGCTAATGGCTGCTTAGTTATTAAAGCCAGAGTCAAAACAGGGGCTGTCATAAGACTAACCCTCTCCCTTTCTCCTCCCATGTTTTTTCCCTCAGAGTTATACTTCCTGTATCAATCTTCTAATGGATAACAACTATAAACTTCTAACACAATATAAAAAACTACCTTAGGGTACTGACCAAAAAAGCAGGCAAATTTTGCAGAGGTTGAAACCTGGAAAAAAAGACAATGGTCCAAGGCTAGTTTCCCATTTTTATAGATTTTTTTAAGCTGATACAAAAGGGGCACCTTTGTGGTTACGAATCAGAGGACACCTCAGAAACAGAGAAACTATAGTTGCTGGGCAATGACCAAGAAATCTCAAAAGAAAGGGAGCCAAGGAAAAAGTAGCACCGTAAATTCTGTGTATAAATTCTACCAAATATCTGGTTAACCCCTGAACTATGTGCAGGACAGACTCCAGCTAAAGATAAAAAACTGAGTTGAGATTTGTGCTGCTGCCCAAGACATAGTTTACAAGTTGAGTCCAATAAAATTATATTCCTGCTAACATAAACAAATAAAAAATCAGTACTCTTCAGAGGAATGTAATGTTTACAATGTTTAGGACTCGATTTAAAAATCACTTAACATCTAAAGGACCAAAGGCAAAACAAATAAACAACATCTCCTAAAACCTGACGTATTCTGTAGAGAAAAGATACAGTGGAGACCAATTCTGAGATTATTCAGATGCTTACTTTACCGGAAAAGAATTTGAAGTAGTTATTATAACTATGTTTAATAAAATAAAGGAAAACATGCTTAGTGAATAAAACGAAGAAAGAAATCTCAATAGAGGAATAGACATTCTGGAACTGAAAGATAAAATATCCAAAATTAAGTCTTTTCTTCCATTTGAGAAATACTTCTATTTCCTTCCTATTTCTGTTCCTTTGTTCTTTCCTCTCTGGAACTGGGTCAACTGAGAATGAAAAGAGACTGATTTACCTTTGGTTCTCCTACAAAGGCACAAATCAAACTCACAGTTATTGATGACAAGTAAGATGGGAATTGGAGAGGAACCTAGTCAAAATTTACCTCTGCTTAGCTGGAGATTCTATTTCAAATGATTTTTATTTGTACAAAAACAAAATGGGGAATTGCTTATTAATAGTATAGGTGGTTAATTTTTGCTCTTTTGGAAGGCTTGGTTTGAGAGATGGGATTCAGGAACATGCGGTAAGAAGGTTTCATGTAGTAAGGTTGTAAAGGTCAGAGCTAACTGAACTTTTCTTTCTGGAATCCTCAATATTTAATACCAGGCTTGATGGCTTCCACATGGTCCAAATTTTTCTTTTAGGAGGTAGAACATATACTCTGAAATACTCCTACAAGGACTCTGGAGGCAGGCTACATACAAACAGGTAATGGTTTTAGGAGAAGAAAAGTGAAATTCAGAGAGAAAGCACCAAACTGTTCTGAAGTGATTCCAACATGGATTACTAAAAGGAAGAATCTAGAAAAGATAACCCAAGTGTACGGTGGGTTTCATGTTGGTGTCTTCCTCCTGAGTTCACCAAGTATTACGCACTGTAAGATACACATAAAAGAGTCGACTTCCCAACCCCAAATTCCTGGTATTTCAAAAGCAGGCCATGATAGGAAAGGGCACAGATTGGTTCCTGCCAAAAACAACAGAACCCAACTCACAAAAGTGACAATAGCTACAATAAGAAAGATTACCGAACAAACCTGAAATGGTCAGTTTTACAAATGGCAGTAATAGTACTTCTGGAAGCAAGGAGTGTGATTATTTCACTCAATTAAAACAAGCAAATAAGATCCAAAATAAGATATGAAAGTCCCCAATGAATGTTCTTAGCAACAGTATAAAGTGTACCAATTAATGTCAGTTTTCAGTATTGAAACGGACCAAAGACCTGAAACTCTATCAGAAATGGAAAAAAAGTAAAGAAGCTGAAAAGCTACAAAACTCCTATTTTTATCATAATTTTTCTACTATAAAGCTGATTACCCCATTGCCTAGTGACAGAAAATTCTAGAAACTTCACAAAATTCCTTTTTAAAATTTATTTTTTGTTATCAAAGAGAATGTCCAGAAACATTTTAAGTACTAAAGAATTTGTTCATGGCATTGTTTTACAAAAGTTCCTAATGAAGAGTGAACATTTTATTTTCTGATGTTATCTTTTACTTATTAATGAGGTGGATGAATTGAACTGATGCAATTACTTAAAAAAAAAATCCAGACAACCTTATAAAGGAAAAATCATCCATTCATATTCTGAATCGTTGACTGGAGTGAATTTGGTGGTTACCACCACCACTGGCTAAGAATCATCTTCCCCACAGGGAGCTGTTCACGTCTTCTCAATAAGTCACATAGGTCTCTCAGGTATAGGCACCATGTTTGAAGTCTCACATAAAATGTGTCACTTAAATTATATAATGTGGCAGTGTTTGTTTCATGGGGACATATTTAAAGAAGGGGCAAAGTAGAAAATAATCCATTTGCATGTTGTATGTGAGTACATTATTGTACTGTGCATGGGCTTGAGGACATTATACCCTTGGTAAAGAGAAATTCCACCAATGAAACATCTGAGAGTTCCCAGTTGCTCTTGGTGCCGAGGGTATCTATCATTTAACAATGGGAAAAGGTCTGGGCCTTCTTCATCTACTGGTTGGCTGAAATTATTCCAGCTGAGTTTTATCGTCCATCTCTTAATACCTAAGCTTTACTTTTCAGCCTCAGGATACGTGGGGTACTTGACTGTTTCTATCTTCTCTCGGACTTTGTAGGAGGGATATAGTCCTGTTTTTCCCAGTTTTCTGTTGACACCTTTAGAATAACCATCCCAGTGATTTCCAGCCACACCAATGATATCTCCAGGTTCCATGGGGATTTCATCTTCAGTTCGAGGTTGGTGAGGATAAATAGCAATCTGGTTGTGGGCGTTTTGGCCTCCAAAATAGTAGATGTCATCTAAAGAGTGGAAGTTTGCAGAAGCATCAGGATGCAGTGTTTGCATGATTTCGTAAGCAACTCGACAGACCTTGGAAAACATGGAAAAAACATTTATTAGTACAGTGTATAAAAGCACTTCACAGCAATCTGAAAGCCCTTGGCCACTGATGAGTACCAGGACTGAGAGGACTGAGAAGAAGTGGCTTATAACCAAAAGTTTTCAGTTCATCTGCTGTCAGTTAATGGTATAGGTATAGCCATTCTTCATCTCAGTGCACATACATATATATGAAGAAAGAGAGAGAGAGAGAGAAAGAGATTATAATTAAGGTGAGGGACATTGTAATATTTAAAAATATGAATAAGTTAATTGTAATAAATATTTATTAAGAGCTATACAGGCATCCAGGCTAAACACTGATGACATAAAAATGAGTAAGAGTTTGTGCCTTGATGAATTTAAAGTTAGGGTTAGGACTGCAGATACTTAATACAAATGATGTTGATTCAATCACATATTCTTTTCTGATAATTTAGAACTTGGTCTCAGAACTGTTCTCAACAGAGACCCATATAATTACTGAAAATCAACTAGCCTTGGCAAGTGAGTTAAAATATACCTGCCATTTCTGTTAAAGAGTTTTCTTTAACTTACAATAATTTTTTTTCATATCAGTGTATATTAGTTATATAGGGAGGGTTCAGTATGACATTCACATATGTGCTTACAGTGTATCTTCATTAGATTAACCCCCACATCATTCTCCCCAGTCGTCTACCCCTTTCTTAAAACAATTTCATCAGGTTTCATTGTTCTATTTTCATACATGTACACAAAGTTACAAAGTACATTGACCATATTTGCCCTCCTTCGCCCTCTCCATTTTCCCTCCCGCCTCCCACTGGAACCCACTCTTGGACAGGGCCTGTTTTACTTTCATGTCCTTTACTTTTCTAAGTGTATATTGATTGTTCAAGAGGTTTTCTCCTTGGTATTTCACTTATAGATTAACCCTCCCCATTACTTATACTTACTCTTTATCACCCGGCTCCCTATTTTCTAAAGAGTTTTAAGTGTGCTGTGCAAACAGTAGTATGAGTGGATTGTCACAGCTGGGCTAGCTTTTTGGGAAGACATATTTACCCAACCAATGTAGTTTTAAGGCTACTTTAAAAAATTCTTCTATCCAAAGAATATCTTCTCGGCCTACTGAATGGCAGGTGAAATCTCACAATCTGAACTTCATTCCTTGAGCTTAAATAAACTTGTTTATAAAGCTAACCAACTACATCTCCACGGGAGGATAACATTTTAAGCAATTAATGAACAGATTCAGTATAAAGTAAGTGGGTTCCAGAACCTTTTCTAAAGAATAGGTGATAACAGAAGACAGACTGTCATTTTGCCCAGAAAATTCTTCCTTTTTACATTCTGAGTCGAGAATTTAGATTAAATTTTCTTAAATCTCCAGTTGTGTTCATCATAGTTAATGAAATTTCATGTTCTTATACCGATACTTTTGCAGTTATTTAAACTGACACTATTACTAATAATTATTAATCTGCTTAATGGAGCAATTTAGGATTACTCAGCAGTCTTTTAAAACTTGGCATTCATGGAGACCAAAAACTGAATAAAGATACGTACTCTCTCTCTCCGCAGTTCCAGGGATTAAATCCAGGGCCCCATTTATGCTAGGCAATCACTATATCATGGAACTGCACCCCTAGTCCAAGACACTCATTCTTAACTGTTATGATCAAATGAAACCTGATTAGGTTAGACATCACCTCAACTTCCTAGAGAATCTGAATTTCAGGAACTTGAGGGGTAATTCTCAAATACTCTATGTAATTTGCAAATGAAATTAAGGTTAGACAGTATTTTTAATTTTGCAGGTAAGAACTAAAGATTAAGCAGCTCACCCAAGTTCTCGTACTAAATTTCAACTAGACACAACAATGAAAACTTTGCTTGCAAGTTTACTTCTCCAACAAACTAAGTTTATCTTGGGAATGTCACAATACACTTCAGTCTACACTGGTAGACTACTGAGACTATAATAAAATGAGGATTAAAAAGATTTGGAACCTTTTAACTTCAAATTCAGCCAGAGGCCCATGCAGAGCAAGCAAAATTAAGTGGGAACTCTGGAAAGAAAGAAACACAATACAGTCATGTGCCATACAATGACATTTCAGTCAATGACAGACAGAATATATAATGACGGTCCCATAAGATTATCACCTAGAGATGTTGTAGCCTCTTAGGTCATGTAATTATACTCTATTATATTCCCAAAACAACAAATTGCCTAACAACACATTTTTCAGAATATACCCTCATTGTTAAGTGACACACAACTGCAATGAAAACAATGAAGCTCCAATCATGTAAACTACAATAACATGATACAGGCTAAGTATCACAATGTCAGGGCCTTGTGTTTGCTAATCAAGTATTCTACTACTTGAGCCATACCTCCAGCCCTTTTTTGCTTTTAGGTTATTTTCAGATGGGGACTTGCTTTTTATCCAAGGTTGGCCTTGGAACTCAATCCTCCTACCTATGCTTTCCACATATTGGGATAAAGTAGGCATTTACTACCATGTCCACCTTATTTGTTGAGATGGGTCTTCCTAACTTCCTCCCATCATCAGGGCTGACCTCCAACTCCAATCCTCCTCTCATCTCTACCTCTCAAGTAGCTGAGATTACAGGAAAGAGTCACTGTGCCTGGCTTAGGCTAATATTTACTAAGCTTTTGCTGTCAGATACTGTTTTTGGGGTAATATCTAATGTAATCATCAGCACTCCCATAAGAGTCTATCATTATGCTCCTTTCACACGTATTAAAGGGAAGATAAAGCATTTATCTTCCTCAGATACTCTATTAATATGTGATAGATTCAGATTTGAATCCAGTCAGTCAGCATATACTTGAAATTGCTAAACATACTTTCCCTTGCAAATCTTGCTCTCCATGTTCATACTGTAACCAAAAGATATAACGCAGGCCAAGGACAGTCTTGGGCAAACCTGAGAGTCTTCTTTTCAGGGTTCTTCCTTCCCTCTTCAGTCCTTCTTACACAGCAATGCAGGACTTTGTATTACTCTTAAGATAAACACAATCTTTACTTTAGCAATGTATCCTGATGTGGTTTCTCCTCTCTACTCTTCAATGTCTTACTCTTAAAAAACAGTATTGCTCTTTGTTCTATACCCTAGGACCTGCTTTCTTTTGGTGACAATCTGAATAATTACTTTATGTTTTGGTATCAATAGCTATTAATGTATTAGCCTTGGGGTATATACACATGCTTTTTTTTAAACCAAAGAAACAACTAATGGTAAAACTTCAGACACTGAAGTGGGCCAGTATAAGAGATTCTGGGCAAATGTAGATTGTAGGCCCTTTCAATCATACCAGTCCTACACAGGCATGGCTCTTTATATTTCTTAAAATAATGGCCATAATAATAGCAGCTGATCTTAACGAGCACAGATTACATTCCAGATATGTTCTAATAGTATGCCCTTCCCCAACTCATTTCACTCTCACAAAAAACCTGTGAGTTATTTTTACAGATGAGAAAACTAAGCATCAGAAAGATTAAGTAAATTTCCAAAAAACTCAAAAGGAACTAGGGAATGACAGAGCCACAATTAGAATTCTTTCTGGTTCTAGAGTATGTGCTCAAGCACACATGAAACTGCCTTTGGGTAAAGTGCCTGGAACACTGGATGACACATAGTAGGTACTCAATAAATATCTGTGGAATGAATATTGCTCCAGTAATGGGGATGCAAGTCCATGGGTGATATTTAATCCTGAAGGTCCACATACAAAATTCTGAATAAGTAATGGCTATTTGTGTCAACCATGGATCAATTCACTGCAAAGGCTAGAAAGATTAATATAGAGCTGATGTTTGCATTTAATCACCCTAGGCTTCTTCTGTGGACTTTACAAATTCAAATCATGTAGCAGGTAAATGAAGGTTTGCAGCTGCTGCCAATACTCAAGTTTGGTACTTACCAGGTTGCATGATTGAGAGGTGCACAGTCTATGGTTTACAAACATGCAACACAGCTACATGTAATATATTTTATTTTATTCTGTGTTGACATGACACTGTATCATTTTTATATATCACTAAGTGTATGGTAATAGCTAATAGCAAAAATCCTGTCAAAGGCTAAAACACAGACATGACTATTAAAAAAAACCAATTCATCCCTTAGGAATGAACAGTCAGCTGAGTTTGCATGAGCCTCCAAAGCTTTCTCAGAGCAGACGGGACCTTGTTTTTGTCAAAATAGACAGGGTGGGAGGTTTTCCTTTTGGTGGAAGTTGACAGTGTGTCCTTACCTCACTGGGTCATGCTGGGAGATCTGTGCACTTTCCCTATAAACTACTTAGTTTGGCTAAGAAATGAAAGAATAACCAAGCCTCTGCTATACTGCAGAAATGCCAAAATTAATGCAATAAAGGCTGTACACAGTGCAGCATTCAACATCACAAACTAGGGCTCATGTTCTAGGAAGTAGGCACAGGGTTCACACCTTGGGCTTTTATCCTGTGCTTTCTCCATGGTACTTTCAACTGTTATTTACTAGTGTTTCATGAGCTACATTTTGATGAAAATTCCTATCCAGAACCATCCATCTAAATAAAAGTTAATGTAGTTCTCAGTTTTGCCCTCTAGGCCATCCAAAATCTGATTCAAAGTATAATGAGGCCAGTTGCGATGTGTGTGGATTTGGAATTAGATAGTGTCATGAGAGTGCTATAGTAAATGCCAAAAAGGGAGGTGTCCCAGGGGAACAACAGTAATTTTGTCCTATGGTGATTTTTAGTGACTGGAACTACTGAGCAACGTTGAATGCTCATTATGTGATGTAAACTTTAATAATGTTAAAGTCTTTAGAATAAGCATTATAATTGTTTTGATAAATCAGAATTCTAAAATTTGGTTGTACCATTTGATAAACAATATTTTCAAGAACTTTTTTTGATATCTCACCTATCTAAAACTGAGCTGCCAATTACTCTTATTTCTCTAATTATAATTTCTTTGATTCAGATTTAAGATGGTTTCATCAAATACGAAAATAAGTGACAAAACAGGTGCTTTAGGCAGAGACATTTTCCGGTAACAAACAAGATTACTGTATTTAGTAGAATAGTTTAGAATGTGATCGAATAGCTTTCAAATTTCACTTGATGCTCTTGGAAAATGCTAATATTGCCTGTAATTTTCATATTAAATCTTGAGGACAGTTCTTTTCAACTTATGAAGTTTTGGGGCTAAAACTTGGCTTTGACAAACAGCTTTGATGAAAGGATTCAGAAAACTTAGAAAAATTAGAGTAGAACTATATTGTTGGGTTTTCATTTAAGGAGAAATAACTCCCAGACCTCGCTTATGGATATAAAATCAAGATCAGAAGTTCTGAGATTGAGGGGGGATGGATCTAAAACCTTATGAGAAATCTGGATTAAGATGCCATGATACAGGTTGGGGAAGTAGCTCAGTGGTAGACAGCTTGCCTAGTGCATGCAAGGCCCTGGGTTCAATCTACAGCACTACAAAGCAAAACAAAGAAGATACCATGACATGTGCTTGCATTTTTTTCAAACATCAAGTCTTTCATTTTTCTTATTCTTTTTACATTTTAGTATTGTCTGAAATAGCTCATGGTCAACAGATCAATTATTTTTCATCGCTATATAGTATAAAATTCCTTAGGCTGGAAGAGTGGCTCAAGTGGGTAGAGCACCTGCCTTGCAAGCATGAGGCCCTGAGTTCAAACCCCAGCGCTGCCAAAAAAAAAAAAAATTTTTTTTCTCAAAGGATAGCTTCTATAGGAGATAGAAAATGTACATAAGTAAAATGACTTAAGGATGGTCAAAGCATTGTAAAGAATATATTAAACTTCATCTTTTAGAATATGAGGTTATCATTAAGGAAAGTTGAGAGTCCATGTTTTTTTTTAGATTGAAATTTGGTTCATGGTGTTTTATCTTTTGTCACTTTCCTGAATGTACTATAGCTTTAGTTTTTCGTATGCCTATGGCACACACAGGAAAAGTCCGAAGATTAATTTCAGACACATATGCAAGTTTACTTGCATTAGTCATAGAAAATGTTATTACTTATCACTCACTATTTGATAATGAACTTTTGTTTCTGACAAGTTGCTTTATATGGCAATGTTATTGTTCAGCAAGCTAAATAAAATGAAGCTTAGGTGGTGCACTGGCAAAGGGAGATTAATATGCTGAATATTACTGTTTTTCTTTCTTTTTTGACAGTACTGGGGTTTGAACTTAGGACCTCTTACTTACAAAGCAGGCACTCTACCACTTGAGTCACTCTGCCAGTTCATTTTTGTGTTGGGTATTTTAAAGATAGGGTTTCATGAACAATTTGCCTGGACTGGCTCTGAACTGTGATCCTCCTGGTCTTTGCCTCCCAAGTAGCTAGGATTATAGGTGTGAGCCACACGGCCCTGGCTTGGTTACTTTTCTTTATGAAGAATTTTATATGGTCCCTATGACTGGATGGGCCTTAAGCATTATTCCTCATCACAAACAAAGGTAATGGATTCCTTTACTAGCATGTTTCATGCTCTTTCTAAAATGTGAGAGCATAAAATCTAAAATGGAGCCATGTAAAGAAGAACTGATAAAATTAATACGTACAGTCTAACAGGCAAAGATCCCTATGACTATTCTTATATATATGTAATAAGAACAGCTGCTATGTTTAATATATTGCTAAATACTACCCTTGTTGCTTTATATGTAATAACTTCAGTTCTTACAAAAACTATGCAGCAGGCACTATTGTAATTATTACCATTTTTAGTGGAAAAAAATACAAAACACTAACAATAGAGATAGGCTAAGTAATCTATTTAATTTGTTCAAAGCCACATAGTCACTAAGTAGTCAGAGATTGACTTAAATCCAGATCGTTGCCTACAGAGCCCATGTGTCTCATTTTTATTCTCTGCCCAGTAATGTTAATGGTGTGGCATTTTGATCCCATCAGTGACTTTTCCTCATGTCCTGCTGGTGATGATAACGAGCCATTTCTGGGGCATTTTTCAAGCAATTTCAATTTTGGCTACATGTACCTGTTGGTCATGTAGATATATAGCTGGATTCTTAAAAACAGTTGGGAGAGATCAAGTAAATATACACCCCTAACCTCCTGCTAGCAAAAAGGAAAAGGAGCTCCTCAAAGACAGAATCTTTATCCCAATTAGGGAGAAACAGCAACAATAGATGCCTTCATGGGAAACTGAAGGCCAAGGAAATGTTCCCTTTTGATTAGGATTGCTGCTATGTGTCTCCTATTTTGTGGAGCTGTCTTTGGGTAGTAAGTTGTACTCTTATTCCGCATTGAAAAATCTTGTAGCCTTTGCCTGTATCTTTCTAAAAATCACATCAAATGCTGGGCATAGTGGTGCACCCCTGAATTCCAGTACTCAGAAGACTGAGGTAGGAGAATTGCAAATATAAAGCTAGCTTGGGTTATATAGTGAGACCTTGACCAAAAAAATCCTATCACCATCCCATTACGATACTGTGCATTGTCGTATAATAAAAAATTGTCTGCTTCTTTATTCTCTATGAAATCCTTCCCCCACGGTAATGATGTTGCTTTTCTCTTTCACGTTTTCTTTTCTATGCTTCTTTTTCAGCATCTACACATACACTTATTTTACCTGACTTAAACTTTTTGGTAATTATTTTCTAGTTGTTTCATGTGAGTACTTTGACTCTGAATGAAGACTATATTTTCAATCACCTTTGAAATCCTCTTGGCACCTATTCTAACTTTGAGCACAAACAATCAACACCTGATTAAGTGAACTAACCAATAACATGTGCATAAATGAGAAAGAAAAAAATTCACAATAAATATTGTTACACTTATATTCCACAGGGCATAGAAGGCTGATTAGGCACCTCATAAAAATATATCTAATCTACAACCTATAATTACAGGCAACAATTAAACTAAAGAAATCATTGTGCTATTGTATGGCTTAAATTTAATATACAGGTCCTAGCTTAGCACAAATATGATAGGACTGGAAAAGGAATTTCGTTACTCTCCTTTTCTATAAAGCAATCAAAGGAGGCAAAACACTGGGCATTTAAGTTTCTCAGTATCAGGGCACTGATTTGTTGAAATGGATGGTTTCTGGTTATAGATTGACTACATGCAAAATCAGAAAAGTATTAAGTAAGTTAGTTTACTTGCTGTTTCTGTTAAATGTTGTGAACAAGCTAAGTGCTTTAACTGACTCCAATAACTGGCTTCAGTGGAGATGTATTCAACCACTGCTTGCACACAACTAAATATTCAATGTGCTCGAATAGTTATTTTAAGAACTCTCTTCATTCTTTCACACAAAAAATACCTGAGTCATGCTAACATTAAAAATACACAGACACACAAATAATAATTTTCCTGATATGACCAAAAGTATTTTTTAAATGAAAAAGTAGCCCTACTGCTACTTACCTGGGATGAAAAAGTACACACTAGGAAGTCTGCCTGGGAGAGAAAATGTATATCCAGAATCACACCCCGAAGTGAATTTTCTGTGTATCGATTGTGTAGTCCAGCTGACCAGGAGATAGAGTTATCACTAATAAATTCATAATTGGGGTATCTGAAAAAAGAAGTAAATTTGTATAGGGTTACTGAAATCACAGTATCCCATTGGGAAGGAGACTACTCCTTTGATCAAGAGCTCCTCTCTTTGTAACAGTAAAGAGTTTTAATTATGCAGTTAATAGAGTAGTTAATAAGGCATCTTTGAATCCATCAGTGGGCCAGAAACCATTGTAGACTATGTTGTAGAATAAATATTATTGGAGGTGGCACACACCTATATCAGGCATGGTGGCACACATCTATAATCCTAGCACCCAGGAAGGCTGAGGCAGGAAGATGGTGAGTTTGAGGCTACCTTGGGCTACACAGTCTCCAAAAATATATTATTGGCATAGCATATAAAACACACACACATCGAAATGTCCTTTATCAATTCATAAAAGAGTGGAAAACTGAACACTCCTTATTCTCTTTGTAATGAGTGCCCTTTTAAGCGTTTCTTCAAGTTGTTTTCATATATGATAATTGACCTTTTTGTTCAGAATATAAAATTTCTTTATAATTTGTGATAACATAGATTTGAGTAAACTTTATAAATCTCTTTTTCATTCGTATTACAAGTTAATAATATCAGGAAATTAAGAAGTGAATATTTAAAAAAGTTTGTGAGAACTAGCAGTCTATTCTTTCATTGTTTTTGAAGAACCAATAATGATAATGGAAAGGCTATTCTAATGCATTTATGAAACCAAATTTTTTGTAAATGCCCACCAAATAATATGTTGGTATCTCTTACTTGAGATAGGATATGTGTTTAAAAATGTTAAGATAGGTTGTCTTTAAAAAGTCTACCACAGGTTCAAATGATTCCACTCTGAATTAGAGGTTTAACTGTACTGTAGCATAGAATGGAATCATTGTCTTAGTGCATGAGGTATATCTTCAGAGTTAGGCTGCAAACCTTGATCAATTACATGAAAAGGAGATAATAATTACATATACCTTAGATAATTTGTAAGATGTAGTACATTAAGGAACATAAAGTGTTCAGTAAATATTAGTTGTGATGATTAAACAGTGTTCCCCAAACATCCACTTAATTGTATTCCTTACTTTAGATGTCTGCTCAATATCACCTCATCAGAAAGGATGACCAGAAATCTCTATACCTTTTACCTGCTTAATTTTTCTTCATGATTCTTCTTGTCATTTGACATCTATTTATGGTTTGTTCATTTTCTACATTCATTCCCAGCCTCCATCATCCTTAACTAGAATATAAACTCTACAAAGAGAGGCATTTCATCTGCTGTTTGCTGTATTATTATTCTCAGAGAATCAGGAATATAAAAGAGGATTAATGAGTATTTCCTGAAAGAATAACAGTCTATTTAGAAACTCTAAAAACATTAGGAGTCAGTTTACATGTCTGTCTTCCAAACAATAGTCTCTAAAATTTAGGATCTTGCTTTTTTTTTTTTTTAACATCATACTACCTAGTAGTATGCACAATGCTGTGTGAATAAATATGTGGACAAGTCTGGGACTTTATCCTAATCCACTAACATGTATTTCAGATTTTTTATCATTTCAGGGCTACCAAGGAGCTTCAATGTTCAAATCTATTTGGCCTTACTGTTTTTGACATTTTGCCCTCCTCAACTCAGAATCATGGAGATGAAGAAAATGTCACATTTGTTCTAAAAAGAAAACAACTTGAAACACTTTTAGTATGATGCCTATGAAGCTATATACCAGGCATTGAGCAGAAAATTTGAAAATGCTGGAGGGTGGAAGAGAAGTGAAGTGACAAAACCACTTCAGGTTTTATCTTTGAGCATGGTTGGGTACTCAGTGAAACAAAGAGGAAATTTCTGAGAAGTGACACTACCATTCCTGGGCTTTCTTAATACCCAATTAAAGGGCCCCTCTGGAACAAAGCATAAAGGGTACTGAAGTTTCTCAGGATTTTTCCTATATAGCTTCATGAAGGATACTGAGAGTGGATAAAACAAACAAAAACAAAAGCAAATAATGGGAGAAGGAGATTTTTGCGTGTCCAATAAAGAGTGTGGAACTTTGTGCACAAATATACTTATTGTCTTTTGCTCTCAAGTCTGTCTGTAGTGGAATTCTTCTATCTTGAGGCTCTGAGATTGGTAATGATTTTTTTCTGTCTCTACCTTGTAAAATCTTATTTTTATATCATTCATTAAAGGACTAGCTTTCAGTTATAAACCAGTATCAAACTTTATTCCTGAGCTCCTTCTCCAGACTGAGGGAGAACCAAACACTTTACAAAAACTTTTAAACATTTTTTTCCTTGCCTCTATTCATTTCAATGTATCTAATGTTAGGAAGGGCTCATCTAGCATTTTTGACAAAGAACAAACTAAATATGTAAATACTTTGGGAACTATTTTGTTTGCTTTTTTTAGACAGGGTTGCTCATGATGTAGGTCAGACTGGCCTTTTACTCTCAATACTCCTGCCCCTGCCTCCCAAGTGCTGGGATTATAGACATGTACCACCACACCCCAGCTATCTGGGAGACTTTATTTTGTTTGTTTAATTAATTAATTAATTAATTTTTGAGGTATTGGGGTTTGAACTCAGGGCCTCCTGCTTGCTAGGCAGGCACTCCACCATTTGAGCAGCACTCCTAGTCCTTTTTTGCTTTTAGTTATTTTCTGGATAGAGTCTTATAGGGCTGACCTTGGACCTCTAGCCTCCTATCTACATGACCCAAGTAGTTGGTAGTACAGCTGTGTATCACCATACCCAGCCCTATGGGTGATCATTAAGGGTTTATTTATCTTCGCGCTTCACCTTTCCCCCTAATAACCACTATCATAGAAAACAATGTTGGTCAGGCAAGTTTAGTAGTTCTTATTTCTTTGACTGTCAACAATTCTATGATTTAAACACTAATAGTGAATTACTTAACACAGATATTAATCAGTACATTAACAATGGCTGCTACAGTCACTGGGATACTGGTGCTAAGACCTCAGGCATGAATTCAGTCTTAATCTAGAGCAACGTGAGGTATAATACCAAGCAGCAAAGGATCAAGTATACATCTTCACATAGAAGCCATATATATAAAGCTAATCCTGACTCCTTTTTCAAAGGATAAGCTACCCAGAAAATGGCTTCTCCTCCTACTGTGTGAAGTTCCATGCATCATTTAATTCTTCACCTCTTCCCCTTCTTGAAAAAGGAAAGTCTTAACAATGATTACTTTGGACAAAGTATGACTACTCAAGACTGATTCATGATTTTGGTCTCCTAAAACAATAACAGAAGTTTTATAATTTGCTTAGGAATCAAAACCAATTGTGAGGTTTAAGGTACAGTTAATTCAAAGTGGAAAAACATTAAGAAAAAAATGAAGGACAGAAACAGCATTCAAATTCCTAAGAATATCAGAAATGACTTAGAAAATTAAAATGAACTGGCCTATAAGGATTGCTTCATATAAAAATGTCATGCTGTGGTATTGGGTCAATGCTATAAAATGTTTATGTCCTTTCATCTAAACAGTTCAAAGTCCAGTTTGAGGAGATAATGTAGATATTTTAGGCCTACTTAGTATCATTATTTATAATAGCAAAAAAAAAAAAGGAAATAACCTAACTGTCCAATAGTGGGAGAACACTTGGTCAAGTAAGCTATAGCAGATCCATACAGTGGATAGACAGTCATTAAAAAAGATTTTGATACTTCTCTCAGACACAAATAAAAAAATGAAAGCAAAGGGATAGAAAAAGATATTCCATGCAAGTGGAATCTTAAAGAAAGAGGCAATACATATACTTACATCAGACAAAATAAACTTTAAGTCAAAAACTGTAAAACAAAGAAGAAAAACCCTGATATATAATGGTAAAGGGGTCAATTCTTAAGGATTATAACAATATCAGAGCACCTAAATACACAAAGTAAAATAGATCAGGAGGGAGAAACATTCAAATACAATAATATCAGGAATCCACTGCTGAATTCTAGCAAATACTTAAGGAACTAATTACAATCTTTTCAAATTTGTCCCAAAAACTGAAGAGGAAAGAATATTTCCAAAGTTTTGCTTATTTGTTTATTTTGTAGTACTGAGGTTTGAACTAAGGATTTTGTGCTTGTTAGGCAAGTGCTCTACCACTTGAGCCACATCCCCAGGCCTTTTGCTTTTAGTTGTTTTTTGGATATGGTCTCACATTTTGCTCAGGGTTAGTCTTGGACCTCTATTCTCATCACTATGTCTCCCATGTAGCTGGGACCACAGGCATACACCACCACATCCAGCTTATTGGTTGAGTTGGGGTCTTGCTAACTTTTCTCCTGATATCCATGTCCTAAGTAACTAGGATTACAGGTGTGTACCACCATATCTGGCCATGTTTTTTTTTTTGAGACAGGATCTTGCAATGTAACACAAGCTGGTCTTGAACTCAGGATCCTCCTGCCTTAGTCTCTTAATGCTGGAATCACAGGTGTGTGCCACCATGCCCAGCAATATTTTGAAATATTCTATGAGGCTACATTACCCTGATACCAAAGCCAGAGAAGGATATTATAAGAAAAGAAAATTATAGACAAATATTCCTGATGAACACAGATGTAAAAATCTTCCACAAAGTAATAGCAAACCAAATTCAACAGCACATTAAAAAGATTATTCAACATGATTTACCACCTAGGATTTATCCTAGGGATGCAAGATGGTTCAACATATATAAATCAATAAATGTGATATACCATAATAAGAATGAAGATAAAAAAATTGAAGAAACCACAATTGATAAGGAAAAAGCATTTAACAAAATTCAGTATCTGTTCATCATAAAAAAACTTTCAAAAATATAGAAGGAATATATCTCAAAACAATAAATGTGATATGATAAGCCCATAGATCACATCATATTCAACAGTAAGAAGATGAAAGCTTTTCCTTTAAGATTAAGAACAAGAAAAGAGGCTGAGACAGGAGGATTCTGAGTTTGAGGCCAGCTGGGGCTATATTGAGAGACCCGTCTCATCAATCAATCAATCAATCAATCAAAGAACAAGGATATCCATTCTTGCCAATAGTTAGGTAAGAAAAAGAAATAAAAGGCATCTATATAGGAAAGGAAGAAGTAAGTTGTTTCTGTTTGCTGATGACATGATCTTATATATAGAAAACCCTAAAAACTACACTAAAGTGTTATAAATGATAAAATTCAGTAAATCTGCAGGTTACAAAGTCAAAATATAAAAATCAGTAACATTTCTATACACTAAGAGCAAACTATCTGAAAAGAAATTAAGAAAGTAATCCCATTTATAATAGTGTCCAATAAAATAAGAAACTTAAGAGTCAATTTAACCAAGGAGGTGGAAGATGTAACCAAAAACTGTAAAAGCATTGATAAAAGAAATCAAAGCAAATAAATGGAAAGTTAGCCATATTAATGGATTGCAATTAATATTGTGAAAAAGTTCATACCACTTAAAGTGATATACAGATTAAGCACAATTTCAATCAAAATTCCAATGTTATTTTTCACAAAAATAGAAACAACCTAAATTTGTATAGAACCAAACTAGACCTCAAATAACTAAAGCAATCTTGAACCCCTGCCCCTCCCCCCCAATGAAGCTGGAGGAATCAGACTCCCTGGTTTCAAAATAACTTATAAAGCAGCATAGTTATACCATAAATACACACAAACTGATCAGTAGAACAGGAAAGAAAACCCAGAAATAAACCAAACTGTAATGTCTTTTGATTTTTGCCAACAGTGCCCAGAATAAAAGACAGAAAGAACAGTTTGTCTAATAAATGGCATTGAGAAAACTGGATACCCACATGCAGAAGAATGAAAATGGACCTTTACTTCACACCACATACAGAAAACAATTCAAAATGGCTCAAAGACTTAAACATAAGATCAGAAATTATAAAACTACTAGAACAAAACATAAGTAGAAAAGTCCCACAAAATCAATCTAGGCAATGATTTCTTAGATAGGACTCCAAAACCACAGGAGCAAAAGCAAAAATAGACAAATAGGATTATATAAGCGTAAAATGCTTCTGTACAACAAAGAAGGTGAAAACGGTTGATGTACTTTTACAAGAATGAATACAGAATTTTTAAACCTGTTGAAATCACCATGAGACAAGGACTAAGGTAGAAAGGAAGAAAACAGAAAGGAATGAAACAATTTGGGTTGTAATACATATATACATGGAAATGTCACAATGAAACACTCTGTATAGCTATCTTAAACAAATGTCTTTTTTTTTTTTTCAAAAACATAGAACAGGAATACAAAACAGGTCCTATCTCAGGGATTGGTACCAGTAGGCGGGGGAAGATATAAAGAAAAGGGTATAAGAGGGTGAATGTAGTGGAAATATTATGTACTCAGGTATGAAAATGGAAAAATGAGACATGTTGAAGCTATTCCAGGAATGGGGGAAGGGAGATAAAGGAGAATGATGGAGAGGGAGAATTCAACTATAATATGTTATAAGAACTTTTGTAAATGCCACAACGTACCCCCAGTACAACAACAACAACAATGATAAAAGAAAACAATTAAAAAGAGTGAAGAGACAACTCAGAGACTGGGAAAAATATTTGCAAACCATACATATGATATGGGGCTATTCTCCAAAATATATAAGGAACTCAAACACTCAAAAGTAAGAAAACAAATAACCTAATTAAAAATAGGGGAGGGATCTGAACAGACATTTCTGAAAAGAAGAGGTATAAATGCCCAACAAGTGTATGAACAAATGCTCAGTATCTCTAATCATTAGGAAAATGCAAATTAAAACCATGAGCTATCACCTCAAACCTGCTAGAATGGCTCAAAATATCACATTGTGCCCCATAAACATACACAATTATTTATTAATCCTAAATAAATAACTTTCAAAGTGACCTGAGAAAATGGACCAAATGCTTTATTAAGTAAAAAGAGTTCAAATTATGTAGCATATAACCAACTATTAAAAATGTGATGACATACATGACTATAAGGAACAGTTGTTGCCCCTGAATAATGGGATTATAGGTAATATTTTTTCCGTGTTTGTGTATTTATCAAATTCTACATTTTCTAGTGAACATAAATTATTTTAACAATCAAAAAAAAAGCTTGTGATACATTCAAGAATAAGTGAAAGAGTAGAAAAAAGTAGGTAGTATCCTTTTCTGAAACCAAGCTACAAATTTGATCTGGTGTTTTAAAATGATGGAACAAAGTAGAACTATTTCTACTTTGCTTCTAACATATCTGAATATTAATTTGAAAAGCTTGATGAAAATTTTTTGTGTTTTGTTCCCAAATGTTTATTTAATTCCTAAGTCTTACATTACTTCTTTGGGGGGGAAGGTGTGCACGGGCGTGTGTTGTGTGTGTGTGTGTGTGTGTGCTTGAGAACTTGGAAAATATCTGTATCATAGGCCTTATTCTAAATTTGTTTCTTTTTTCCATTCCATTTGTGACAGAAAAAAATGGACAAAGTAGTCCATTAAATAGCCAAGTAAATGATTTCAGTATTTACTAGATATGTGTTAGAGCTAGGTATTAGGTCCAAAGTATACAGTAGGCCCTTGGTATCTGCAATTATGTGGTTCCAAGGAGACCACTACTGCAAATGCTTAGGATGCATAGAGTTTAGTACTCTAAAATCACTAATATTTACTTACACTGTATGTATAATAGGTCTGAACATCCATGACTTGAGACCTACATGCAATAGGGTATATTTCTGTCACAAAAATCACTGTTGTACATATTAATACCACTCACCAAAAATTAGACCTTATTTTATGCTCTATCTCAAATACTGTGAATGCTTAATTCATTTTTCCTACATAATACCACCCACCTTTTGCTAAAAACATGCTGCCTTTCAACAAATCTAAAATTTCCACTTTACTATTTCAATTATGCACATTATCTGTCCTTTTTGGCTTGGAAGGATTATTATAACTTTTATCTTACTTTTGGGACACCATTTGCTTTTTGGAATGCATGTTATCACAAAATTAAGGGCAGGAAAACATTCAGCATATCACACGATTTAAACACAACTGACTATAACATGGAATTGACTGTGAGCTTCTCCACAGAGCTGTGAAATACATGTGGGAATTAAAAATTTTGCTTTTGAAGTTTCTTTTGATATTTATTTATTATTTTTTGACCATTTTTTAAATCAAAACTGTGTGTAATAAATTTTCAAATAAGATGAACTTACTGTATACAATCTAGTAAGGGAGACAGAAGTAAACAAGTGCTACCACAGAGGAATGTGTAAAAGAAGAAGACAACCCAGTCAAAAGTTTAGGGATGATTACTGGAGGAGATGTATCTGAGCAGAGAGCTAAAATTACAATTTTCTTCTTCCTTGCTTCCTACTTTTGCGTATATTCAATTCAATACTTACGTATTTATTAAATTTTGCAATGAAGTAGATATCTTCCTCAGCTGAAAGACAAGTGGTGAGGCAAAGTATCCGCTTAGCAGTAAACATAGCTGTAAGAATGACTTTAGTATTTTAATTTATTGATAGGTTCGCCCAGATCCTATGATAAGAAATTTCCAATTCTGATTATTGTTTTGTCTATGCATTCTCTTATACCTCATGTGAATCCTATTGTAGCATTACTTACATTGTAGTATAATTGTCTTTTCTCTCATTATGTTGGAAAAGAGCTGGGAGTACTTTGCTTATGATGGAACCCTCAGCATCTAGCAGAGTGCGTGAAATATAGGCAGGCTCAAAAAATGGTGGTTACTGTTCAATTCAAACTAGTAGATTGCATTTCTCCTCTTATAAAATCTATCTTTTCATTCTTTACTTTTAACTTCTAAATTTCATAAAATTTTGTAAGACACAAGCACTTTATATATACATGTGTTACTGAAGATACTGAGATCAAAAGGGCAAGCTTCTGGTGTGTTTTATTGCTAGCAGTTTTGTATAGTTGGTTGATGTTGTTATGGACTAAATATTTATATCCCTCCCCACAAAGCTGTTTAATCCCTAACTCTGTGTGATAGTATTTGTTCTTTGGGAGGTAATTAGGGTTAGATAAATTCATGAAGCTGGGACCCTTATGATGGGATTAGTGTTCTTACAAGAAGACAGACATCAGAGAGTTTGTTATCTCTTTCTGGCACATACCAAGAAGATGGTGGTTGCTTATAAGCCAAGGAAAAATGTTTCAGAACTAGCACCTTGATCTTGGACTTCCCACCTCCAGAACAGTGACAGATAAATATCTGTAATTTAAGCTGCTCAGTTTATGATATTTGTATGGTAACTTTAATAGACTAACAGATTTTGCTACCAAAAAGTAGGGTAATGATATTTAATGATGACCACTGGTGATGCTGTACAAGTCAGTGGTCTACTTCATACTGGATTTCTTATTGCATGGCATCAGATATGGCTAATAAAGTATGCTTTGGTTAGATTAATAATTATACAAATATGCAGTTATCTGAATTAAAAAGCCCTCAATAATTAGCAATATTATAACAAGAATAATATGTCATGAGAATTAAGGATTCTTTTTAACTAAAAGAGAGTCCCACTCTGGAACCACTGTTTGGACTAACTTACTTTGCTTTTGCCTCCTTTAATAAAGAAGGGTCGTCGGTGGCCAAATATACTCTTTTCTTATCCACTTGCATTCTGCGAGCAAGAAGCTGGAAATGTTCTTCAACGTGTACCATGTACTCCTCAATGGGATGGAAGGCTGCTTCTGTTCCCACTTTGTCTGTGCGTCTGACATGGACTCTGGAGAGAAATTGAGATTCTGCTGAAAATGTACTGATCCACTGGAACTTTGGGATTACTCAATTTATACCCCTAGTTATGGTGGCATTATGGGCATTTTAAACCAATTTTTCTTTCATTTTCACCATTAGAAAAAAACAGAATATTAAAAAAACCTCACATGTATTTTAACATATTTGCATGTTTAAGCAATACACAGGGAATAAGAAAATAAAGCTTTTGAAGAATGCTTTCTTATAGCGAAAGTAATTGGCATACTAGGAATAAATGGAAAGTAGGCAGCAAAGTACCCACCAACTGTCCAGAAAGAAAGGATTTAAGTTTCAAGGTTTTGAGACCAAAATGATAGCAGCAATCACAGTTGTTATTACAGAACATTAAAGATACTATTTGCAATGTTCTGATGCCAAGATTTTTTTTCTTTACTGTATCCTGTAGATTTATTATAATGGCTAGCCTGTAGAATTTCAAGTTGTCCAAGGAAAATACTACATGGATCTTTCCTACAGTACAGTTAAGGCAGGCAAACCTTTAAAAGATTTTTTATAATTTTATGTTCTTTTGCTATGTTTATAATGAATTTCCTTTCTCTTTCACTCTATCAAATGAAAGCAGATAAAGATCTCATCTGTCCTATTTAAGGAAAGCCCTAAAATTGTAAATTAGGGGGACACAGATTTAGATTGTCTTGCATTGAACTGACTTTCACAATCTTCTTCTTCCATCTTAATTATTCCAAAGTGATTTTAATGGAAATAAGAACAACAGAGGTTGCTTTCACAATTTAGATTCCTTAAATCTGCCTCCCATCCCCAATTACTAAACCATTATTCATATGTGGAAAAAGGAAAATGATAGATTTGCTTCCTTTTCCATCTCACAGGCCTTAGGTCAAGCCAAAGACCAGGTCTGCATTACTTATATGGAGTGAAGATTTGATTTCACTGGAGTTATACTGCCCTATTAGTGACTATTCTTTCCTTTGCATTTCAGATCATAGTCCAGATGTGGATATGATCACAGGAAAACCTATTCTGTCATCTTTCCTTTCCCACATTCTTCTTAATCACTGCTTCTCTTGGGAAATTGGAATTGTTCAGCATGCTCTATAGAGATGAAGTGGGACCAGAAGGAATGGTTCTACTGAATTTCAAAAAGAAGTTTCATGAGATGAACACTATTTAATAATACTCTGATTTCACCACATACTTTCTTTAGCTCTAATATTTAGAACAGGGATCAGTAACTTCTCTACACATAAGGATTAAGACACAAAGAAAGATGTGGAGCGGGAAATATGAAAATAAAAACAAAGGAGATATATAATAATAGAAGAAAAAGTCAAAGGAAGAGGAGCATTTGATATAGTAGAAGAGCACATAAGCAATTTTCTCAGCTGTTATGAGTGAACAAAGGAAGAAATCTCTCTGTGCTCTTCAGTGAAATCTGGAACCTCTGTTCTTTGGTGGGACTATAAAAATTAAACTATGTATTGTAAAGTTCACAGTACAAGGTGTACATATATAACCCTGTTATTATATATCACTGTTTGAGGAAAAAAAAATCAGATTCTTACCCAATAACTGGATGTTTGAAGCCAAGCTTCTTAGTGGCCTCTTCTATTTCCTTTTCCAGCCAAGGTTGTGGGCGTATCAAGTATTTGACAAACTGAGACACCCACCACACTGCAGGATCACCATGGACTCTTAAGAGTCGATCAGCGAGGTCTTCTGGTACAGCCAAGGGTAAATAAGGAGGACGAGGATGAAGACTGTCTACAATAGGGAGCTCGACCACTTGAACATTTTTGTCCTTTACTTCACCTGACAGAATATCAAAATATATTATCACTAAACTACATTTCTAATATGTCTACCATGCAACAAGAACTCACTTTTGGTGCTTTCATCCTCATAATGAGGCAGGCCAGTAATAGGAAAAGGGAAAAATCACCATGGGACTCTGGTGCTATGAGATTCCTTTCAGTATTTCATGCTCAGTTCCTTTTCTCAGTCCAATGCCATCCTTTGCAGTTGTAAATGTCTTTTCAATTGTAATGTCTTAGTAGTTATAGAATCCTCTTCAATTGTAAAGCCTTTGCAGTTTCAGGAAGCCTTGGGGAATTCACTCTTGATTACCTTCAGGTAAAAGCCCTCTGCTTAAAACATGAATATTGATCGCACCTCATACAGGCAATTAAAATATGAGAGTTAGCATAAGTGCATGTGTGGAGTGCCCCATGCTGTATGACAAACCTTGCCAATCAAACCTGTCAATTTCCCTGGCCCATCCTGCAAAGACTGCCCAGATTTTTCCTATTGTTTGCCCTTTCAATTTGTAAAGGACCTTTAAAACAAAGATCAGAGCTTCTAAGCCATCTGCCTGGAGCCTTCCTTGTGGTGCCTTCCTCCCACCTTCGATGAACTTTACTATCACTTTCATTACATTTTCTAGTCCTGCCACAATTCTTCTTTCACAGGGAGCAAGAACCTGAAATCTTTTGACCAGTCTTCTGAGACCATCAGCCTGTAACAATAGCAGTTCTAAAGAAGTGTTATAGTTTCACTTTACAGAGGAAGTTAAATAGCTTGCCCAAGGTACCAGAGCAAAAGCAAGAGAACTGAATTTCATGTGCAGTAGGTCTACCTTTCAAGGCCATGGCCTTAAAAAAATTTTTTTTTATCAAGCTGGCATATTATACTTTACATTTCAAGTAAGGATGATATGCAGAACTCAAAAGTATTAATCAGAGAATAGCCATATTGCCAGTAGACATAGCCAGCTACCAAAGTTAAATGTTTTGTTGTTGTTGTTGTTATTATTGTTTTGGAATTAGACTATGAAGTCTCCTTAAAATTCTAGATTGCTATTATAGCAAATGGGTTTTGCATTACCTTCATGACAGCACAGTGACTCTGGGACTGCCTAAAAATTATAATTATAAGCCAAAAATCCTTATCTTTTGAAGGAAAAAAAACAGGCAATTCTAAAGCCTTTATTTTTTCTTGATGAAAACAGACCTATCATATTCTCAATTATGGCAATAATAGAAACTGTGTTGCTTATTTACCTAGATATTAATTAAAAGCTCAGAGATTAGATGATAAATCTTCACAGATGATCACTTTCAGAATTTATCTTCTATATGTCATTAATGTTACTGATGTTCTACCAAATTTATAATGTAATAGACCAAAAAGTGAAAGCCACGACTCCCAGAGTTTATTTTACATATTAAAAACCACATAGTAATAAATTGAAAACAGAAAGCTAGCAGGCAGAGAGATTTTACTAATGTAAAATGTATCAAGTAATTTTATAATACAGAAAATATTAGCCTGAACATACAAAATAACTCCAGCAAAGATGTTGTCATTGTACATAATGAATGAGAATTACAATCACTGGACCATTAATGAAAGAATACACTTGTACAGAATAAACCTAGAATATATTAAAAATATATTCACCATTTCTGTATGCAAATTATTTTAGAATGATTTGGAATGCAGTCAATAAAACTAACTGCATAATTATCATAAAGTCACCTTAAAGCCAAATGTGGTGAGTACATGCCTGTAATTCCAGCACTTAGGAGGATGAGGCTTTACTATGGGATACATCATGAGACCCTGTCTCAAAAAACAAAAATTAAATAAAACAAAAAAGTCAGCTTAATATAAGAATTAAAAACATCTGGTTAAAATTCTCTTTCTCTAATATGTAAAAATCATTTCAAGATTCTGAGAGAAAAATCCTTGAACTATGACATTTAGTACATGAATAAATGGCAATACAAATTTTTTTGCCATTAGTATTGCAGTTCATCTAGGGTGCCAGTTAAGAAAGAACTGGATACCTTTATCAGATGAAGGAGTATCATTAAGCATGTGAGGGGAAAGAGTGAGCTCCATTTTAAATGCAGCTATAACAGGTTCAAGTAGAAACCACTGGAGTTTATCATCGAAGCAAAGCAAAACAAAAGACACATGGGTTCCAGCACATGAAAAGAGGTACACTTAGTGTTCTAACATTAGGGGTACTTATACCAGGTGAAAAAGCATGGTGGAGAGAAGGTTAAACATCCCTTTAGTTAAGTGCTCCTTTTTCCTAGGTAGCTGGTGAGGCAGGCTAGAAGTAGGAAACATTTGGGGTTCATGTAGGTTGCCCAGGAATGGCCCAGATCACCCTCACTTGGCTGGGAACCACCTATTTCCCTCCCTACTTGTTCATTATTGGGTGGGAAGCTCCTGGATCTGCCCTCCCCATGGGTTCCTGTAGGTTTGAAAAGCACCTGAAAAAGAAAAGCACTGCACTCTCTGCTGCCGGACTCCACCTGCACCCCACCATGCTCTCTTTGTATTTCCTTTCCTAAGTTTTAATAAACCCCATTTATACCCAGGTGTTCTGCTTGGATTCTTCCATGGTGGAACGCAAGAACCAGGGTCTTGTGAAAACACCATTTTGCCACCAACATTTGGCGAGACTAGCCAGGAGACTCATGGTGAGGTCCCCGACTTTAGAGGGTCACTCTCATTCTTTTCACTATTTTTCCTTTGCCAAGGGAATGGGCTGAACTCTGTCTTCAGGAAAAGTACTAGGTCGGGACCCAGTGTTGTCCGCCCAACAGGTGGGCCTGCCTGTCTACCCAGTGCATGCTCCCCCATGGCTTGGGGCTCACAGGGAATGGGGTAGGCCAGGCAGCCTTAAACTGCAACACGCTTTCCCTTCTTCCTCACTAACCCTTAACCCCCTCCCCTCCCTGTCTTTTCTTTTGGGTATAGTAATTGTGCTGTGGGAGATCATACTGTAATATCTCTAACCACGTAGCTAGGGACAATTAGGAATGCCTCTGGCTGGGTTTCTTGGCACCCCCCCCCCAGCCCCCGTTTTCTTTCCCTTTCTCTCTCTCAAAGCAGTTTTAGAGGGCAAATGGAGGTGCTACTGCATGGGCTATGGGAGCCACTGGTTGCAGCAGTGGGAGAGGGTTACAAATGCATTGCTCCTCAGCAAGCCGGTGCTCAGTTCTGGCCCCGACCAAAGTTATGGTCCGGATGGCCGCAGCCCTGCTGTGGGCTGCATGGACGACGGTGGCTGGTGCTTCACGGAGCGCCTGGCAATGTGCAGCGCCAGCAGTGGCAGGGTGCAGTGGAGCGGCAGGGCGGGTGCCGGGTAGCACGCTCAGCCTTAGCAATAGTGTGCACAACAAATGCATGCCCCAGGAACCAGCGCCTACAGAGCTGAGTTCCACAGCTGCCTTTTTTTTTTTTTTTTTAATTGATGGTGTCACCCCTGGCGGACGCCACGCTGGACCTCAGGCCAGGACCACTCGTTCCTGTGGGTATCCTAGGTACATAGCCTTCTCCCTCTTCCTCCTCTAAACGTTCCCCTTCCCATCGGGCCTGTTTCTTCTGGCCACTTAATCCAAATTCTTGTACATGTTCTCCTAGCTTCCATAGCCTACAGCAGTTGAGGAAACACTCACCCCAAAGGCACACTCCCTGTCCCAAGGCTAACAAGGCCCTCTTTGCCTATTTAGCCAAAGATCTAAATTCCATTCAAAGGTAAAATCTAAATTAACATATAGGCTACAAAGTGTAGCTATGATGTTCATTGTTGCTGTCATTAAATGTTAAATGCATTTAAATTCTCTTGAATATGTTTTCTAAAATTAAAAACAGTGCCATTTAATTAAGGATTTGACACTGGTCACCTATAAAGTGTATCTGAAATAAAAAAAATAACTTACTTAAAATTCATTTACTCTAAAGGCAAAATTAAAAGGGGGAATTTATTCTATTAATACGATGTTATTTTTTACACTAAAATATGAGTTTTAAATATATACTTGCGATAAGGAGACCATAATGGCATTAATTAATACTGTCTATCATAGTTATCACTCTAAAATGTGATACACAATAAACATTTAAAAACATTGACTTTAACTATTCTCTGCTGATAAAATTAGGCTTCCTTACAGCCAAAAGGTTAAAAGAATGGGTCCTTATGTGTGGATATTTTAAATAGGCAATTTAATTAGAGGTTTTATTCTTAACAATTTATTATTTTTGTTTTAAAATTAATAAAACTTTGTTCTCTATAGCTCAGTGTAGTATGTTAGATTGTAAACATGTTTAAGGTCATTTCCAACTGTAAATCTGTAAATGGCTGGGTTCTACAGGGTTTGGATTCTTGGATTTCTAGGTAATAACAAAGCCCCTTTATGAGGAAGTCCAGGATCTAGTTATAAACATCTGGAGTAAATTGAACAATAACATAGCCCCTCAAAGTTTAAAGGTTTAACAGCCATTTGCCCTAGCCCTAGTAATCCTAAATTTAGATAAGTTTCTAAAACTAAAAGACAGGACATTAAAAAAAAAAAAAAGTTCTACAACCTATGACTGATTCCCCAAAACTATCAAGTGATATCACATCCAAGGAGGCTAAAAAGCCTTTTAAATCCCACCTTAGCTTGCTTCAATTTGGTCTTTTCATTAGCATGCCTAACTCATGGATACCTGTTTCTCAGAGGGTTATAGTAATCTGTTAACATATTGCTATTTTGAGCCTGTATGTTGTATGTAACATGTCTTGGTGCTCCATTTGAGAGACTCTTTGGAAAGACCATGTGGTCACAGGGAATGCTGCCACCATATGTCCCAAGTCATTCTGTTAGTTAATATCAACAGTCTAGGATGTAATTTCTTAACAATATCCAAACCATGGCCCTCAGTTATTGGGTCTCTTAACTTTATGCTTACTCCCTTATCTCTGTTTCTGTATCTAATTATTTGAGACATTAATCTTAATTGGCTTATTA